TATTATTATTATATGAAAGTGGAAACTGAGACTGAGAGAGGTTAAATTATGTCCCCTAAGTCAAACAACTTGTAAGTTGGAGAATAGGAATACGAATGGAGAAATTTCTGATGTTGAAGCTAGAGATCTCTTTTAGAAGTTGCGAACACCTCACAGAGAATTGATGCTTGAGATTAGTGTCTAACCAAGGTTTGTTTAATCTCAAAATAACGACAAAGAGGAGTAAGTATGAGAACTTGAAGATACATAAATTTGTTATCCAATAAAATATAAGCACTCTCAGTATTAGACAAATTTAAGGGTACTTTCAAATTTACCTAATGAAGTGATAACATGGTTAGGGCAAGAATTACTTCTCTGAGATTCTGCATTCAATAGGGTTCTGCTCTAGGCATCAACAGTGATTGTTATTATTTACAAAAGAGACACAATGTGAGGCTTTAATAGTCCATGGAGATACAAATACATAAAAATAGAATTAAAAGATACCAAGAAAAGGAGAGTTGTTCAACTCATGAAATTGTACTTACACATTTAAGCCACGGGATGTCGCGGTATTCCACAAAATAGCTTTTTTAGAACAAAGGCATAACCCTGTGTTTCCCAAGGAGTAGAAAGGAGCTACATTCTGAGATTTCAGCCATTTCGATAAAATTGGATGTAAGAAATCGAATAGGAAAATTCGGAGCGTGTGTGTCTTCTAGACCGCTGATTCACAGATTTGTAAAACAGGAGAAAGGTATGTATGATGTTGATCTACAGACGCAGCGGCCTGAAAGCTCAGCGCCTGCTGCTTTCGTTTCTGCTCCTCGTAACCTGGGAAACAGGGACCTGCCAGGTCCACTACTCGGTCCCCGAGGAGGCCAAACACGGCACCTTCGTGGGCCGCATCGCGCAGGACCTGGGGCTGGAATTGGCGGAGCTGGTACCGCGCCTGTTCCGGGTGGCGTCCAAAGGCCGCGGGGACCTTCTGGAGGTAAATCTGCAGAATGGCATTTTGTTTGTGAATTCTCGGATCGACCGCGAGGAGCTGTGCGGGCGGAGCGCTGAGTGCAGCATCCACCTGGAGGTGATCGTGGAGAGGCCGCTGCAGGTTTTCCATGTGGAGGTGGAAGTAAAGGACATTAACGACAATCCTCCGGTATTCTCCGTCTCAGAACAAAAGCTCTCAATACCCGAATCTCGACTGCTTGACTCTAGATTTCCACTAGAAGGCGCATCTGATATGGATGTTGGAGAGAACGCAATGCTTACTTACAGACTCACCCCAAATGAGTTTTTCACTCTTGATATTACAAGCAAAAAAGACAAAGGTAAATTCCCTGTGCTTGTTCTACGAAAACTGCTGGATCGTGAAGAAAATCCTCAGCTTCGATTGTTATTAACAGCAACTGATGGAGGGAAACCTGAGCTTACCGGATCTGTTTCTCTGCTGATCCTGGTGTTGGATGCCAATGATAATGCCCCTGTATTTGACCGACCCATTTATGAAGTTAAGATGTATGAAAATTCAGCGAACCAAACGTTAGTAATATGGCTAAATGCTTCTGATGCGGATGAAAAGATAAACAAAGAAATGATATATTCATTTAGCTCTTTGGTTTCACCCAGCATAAGAAGGAAATTTCTGATAAATGAAAGGACAGGAGAAATAAGAATAAATGATGCTATTGACTTTGAGGATAGCAACATTTATGAAATTCATGTAGATGTTACAGATAAAGGAACCCCACCTATGGTTGGTCACTGCACTGTCCTAGTGGAAATCATGGATGAAAATGATAATTCACCCGAGGTGGTTGTCACTTCGCTGTCTCTCCCCGTGCGAGAGGATGCTCAGGTGGGCACCGTCATCGCCTTGATAAGCGTGTCTGACCGTGATTCTGGCTCCAACGGGCAGGTGACCTGCACCCTGACACCCCATGTCCCCTTCAAGCTGGTGTCCACCTTCAAGAATTACTATTCGCTGGTGCTGGACAGCACCCTGGACCGCGAGAGCGTGTCGCACTATGCTGTAGTAGTGACCGCGCGGGACGGGGGCTCGCCTTCACTATCGGCCACCGCCAGCGTGTCCGTGGAGGTGGCCGACGTGAACGACAACGCGCCGGCGTTCGCGCAGCCCGAGTACACGGTGTTCGTGAAGGAGAACAACCCGCCCGGCTGCCACATCTTCACGGTGTCTGCGCGGGACGCGGACGCGCAGGAGAACGCGCTGGTGTCCTACTCGCTGGTGGAGCGGCGGGTGGGCGAGCGTGCGCTGTCGAGCTACGTGTCTGTGCACGCGGAGAGCGGCAAGGTGTACGCGCTGCAGCCGCTGGACCACGAGGAGCTGGAGCTGCTGCAGTTCCAGGTGAGCGCGCGCGACGCGGGCGTGCCGCCTCTGGGCAGCAACGTGACGCTGCAGGTGTTCGTGCTGGACGAGAACGACAACGCGCCCGCGCTGCTGCCGCCTGGGGCGGGCGGCGTGGACGGCGCGGTGAGCCAGCTGGTGTCGCGGTCGGTGGGCGCGGGCCATGTGGTGGCGAAGGTGCGCGCGGTGGACGCGGACTCAGGCTACAACGCGTGGCTGTCTTATGAACTGCAGCCGGCGGCAGGGAGCGCGCGCAGCCCGTTCCGCGTGGGTCTGTACACGGGCGAGATCAGCACGACGCGCGCCCTGGACGAGGTGGACGCGCCGCGCCAGCGCCTGCTGGTGCTGGTGAAGGATCACGGCGAGCCGACGCTGGTGTCTACGGCCACCGTGCTGCTGTCGCTCGTGGAAAGCAGCCAGGTGCCGAAGACTTCGTCGCGGATGTCGTCGGGGGCCACGGGCCCAGAAAGGGCGCTGGTGGATGTGAACGTGTACCTGATCATCGCCATCTGCGCGGTGTCCAGCCTGTTGGTGCTCACGCTGCTGCTGTACACGGCGCTGCGGTGCTCGGCGCCGCCCACTCAGGGCGTGTGCGGGCTGGGGAAGCCCACGCTGGTGTGCTCCAGCGCGGTGGGGAGCTGGTCGTACTCGCAGCAGAGGCGGCAGAGAGTGTGCTCTGGGGAGGGCCCGCAGAGAGTGTGCTCTGGGGAGGGCCCGCCCAAGGCCGACCTCATGGCTTTCAGTCCTAGCCTTCCTCCTGTATCCAGTTCTGGAGATAATGGAAAACAACAGGAGATTTGCGAGAATGTAAGTACAGTACTTCTGGGATGTACTGCATGCCTTTAATGTTAATCACATAGTAATTCACCAGCATATTACTGTTAAGTTAATTTTTTTTTGAGATGACTTATTTTAAATCACACTGGAAGTCCAGCCACTTTTATTACTTTTCACACAGTCTTCATGAACACACCAGGAATAGTATTTAGTTGGTAGAAATAATAATTGTAGTAATAATAGCAGTAATGGAATCGATGGCTAAAGCTTCCTGTAAATGTGGAAGGTTAAGTCAGACAGGAAGGAAATAAGGATCATTGATGAGAACTGGAGGGTGTGGGCAAGGCTTCATTCTTCTACTTCTCAATTTTTGCATCAAGTTCATTCTTCTTATTCATTTTCTTACTCTAAGTGGTATTCTCCACTCATTATATTTACGTATTTGAAGTTATAATAACGCATAATTCATAATTTAGTTAATTTGAGCTGGAACATGTTTAAATTCTTAATTTCCTATAATCTGTAAGTTTACCTGTTACTAGTGGGCATGTGCTGTTGATGAGGCCTCATTTTATAAATCACTTTGTTTCTCTATAATCAGTGGCAGTCTTTGAGATAGCGGGTGAAATTTCGCCCTATTTTTGGAGATAACTTCACTGCCTTTTGTCTTTAATTTTCTCATTACTTCAAGTCATTTTCTTCATAGTCTTCAGCAGCTTCATATAGAATTTCCCCTTTATTTCCCAATATAATGTCAGTTTTGCTAATTGCCTGTTGAACCCATTGCTGCTCTCCTTCAGATTCATTTATTGAACTCTTCTTTTTTATTTGGAAGATTTATTTGAGCATTGATTATACTTTTATTTCTTCCATTCATGATATCTGTCATGAGGCTGTATGGAAATGTTTTAGCATAGGAAAATTTGTATTTTTTTTTGTGCTTTGAGTTTAATAAGAGAGTCTTCCCATGTATGAAGAAGTGTGATAACTGCTGCCTGTGTTCACCAAGCTGCTTGGTTTTCAAAATGACATTTCTTCAAGTAACTTAAGCATAACAACCACAGAACTTCCACTTGACACTTCTGCTTGGCATTAGCACTTGACAACGGTGTTGTTGATCACATTTCAGAATTTAACCTTGTAATACTTTAGATAACATTTCATGCAAACAATTTTTTGGGTCACAAAGTTATATTTGTGTGAATTGTTTTTTTTTAAAGATCACAGAGAACTTGTATTTAGGGCTGAAAGGGTGTGACTCGAGTAATGTGGAAGTTAATTTTGTTCTTTTTGGCTCCAGTATAAAATTAGAGACCATCTTAATTGGATTGTGTGGAGAAATAAATTATATATAATAATTTACATGTGGGAGGAAACCCCTGTTTTAATAGATAGGGTGAAGTTAATAGAAATGCTGAGAAGGCATTAGCAGTTATTTTCTTCAAGGATGATTTCCATGAAGATGAATATTTAGAGAATTTTCAGTAAAGGAAATGCCATACCCTAGTTATTGTACTGGAATTCTCTTCATCCTTAACTATAGAATAACAAGAACAAACTGGTTACTAATGATAATAAACCACCACGATTTGAGCTATTTCTACTTGTTAGACATGGTGTGGAGGGCTTAAAACACATAATTTCATTTAATTCTTATAACAACTTGTAAATTACATGTGGCTATTCAAGTTTTAAAGATGAAATAAGAGATGGTACAATATCTGTCTTGTCTACTGCCACCCAGCTAGCACATAATAGAGATGATATTCAAATGCATCTCTTTTAGATTCCAGACCCATTCTTTTTTTTTTTTCTTCAGCTGAGCCATCCTGCCACCTGTTGGCAGCTCAGCGGCAGCTCAGCTCGGGCAGGGACTTGAACTGCTGTTGCTCAGAGCTCGCACTCTAGACTCATGCTTTTTATTCACTGTAGAGCTTTCTATAGTAAATCTTTTCTCTGATCAGGCATAGTTCTGGCTAGGAAAACCATGTACAAGCTGTATATAGGTGAATCATCCTTTTTGTTTTGCTTAGAATAAAAACCTTCATGGTTGTCTTCATTATTAATTTTGTACAATGCCATAATTGAGATAGGAATTAAGGTTTTTTTGTTAAGTGATTTTTTTCTGAAGAAGAGTTCATGATCATCATTATCATTTGTGTTAATGCCACATTGAGATAGATAGTTATATTATTCAATTGGTAAATATTTAAGAGTTGTCTTATAAGGACTGTGGATCAGTTGTTTGAAAGTGATATAAATAAGAGTCATTTAACATACGAGAAAATTTAGAAGACTGGGATCTGCAGTGTTCTGGCACAACACCAAAATCAAGTGACACATATGAAAATGACCCTGTCCTGTTAACACTGTGAATAAGGATAACGTTTTGGACAAACATAAGTGGTAATATGAGTATTTCTGGGATCCCACACATCAACAAAGGATTCAATACGTGTTTGCAAAATTGCATACTTCAATACAGCT